CTGTGCTGGAATGCTCCCTGTGTCTGCCTTTCTGTCTGTCTGCCATCCTGATTGTGCATCTGCCAGCAGCAGGGCTTTAATTATGAGGCCCAGGTTATATGTGAGCACACACACACACACACACACACACGAGACCAGCGTCCCACATATCTCGAACACAGTGCCTCACAGTTCCGCTGACTAACCAGTGGCACCAGACTTTGGCCCGCGGCTCCCTGATTCCAGTAAATGTCTTGTTATGCAACTCCTAACAAGTGTCACCCAGGCTGAACTTGGAGCATTCTGAGGCTCTTTTTCTCTTATCTCTTCATTTATTCTCTGACAGCAATCGCTGGGCTCTTTAAGGTTTGACAGCGGGAGAGGGGGGGAGGCGTTAACCCTTTAAAACATGGAGCCTGGTCTTGACCGGGGCAGAAAACGTGGAGTGGACGACAGGCAGGAAGTGGGGAGGAGGGTGGAGGGAGCTCCTCCTGCTCTTTGCCTGAGAAACACAGCTGCCCCTCATGTCTTGGGGCAGTGCCAAGGCTGGACTCCTCGACTGCCTCTGGGAGGTGAGCCGTGTGTGTGTGTGTATGTGTATGTGTGTGTGCGTGTGTGCGTGTGCGTGCGCGCGCTTCTTGAACCGGCAGAAACAGGAGGGCCGCTGTTCTCTCAGCTCTCTGTCCCGATAATACACGTCCAGATTCAGAACGGTCTCAGAGATGTGACAAAGCACAACCAGCTGCGTGCACAACTGGAACACGCCACCGAAAGCCTCCGCTCCTTTTCCACCATCAGAGAAAAATAACGTTTGGTACACACTTACAGAAACGAAGTGACCAATGTTCCACTATCTCAATTCGATTCAATTCAGTTCAATTTTATTTATATAGCGCCACATCACAACAACAGTTGTCTCACAGCTTTCCAAACAGAGTAGGTCAGACCCTACTCTGAAGTTAACTACAGAAACCCAACAATTCCCACTATTTTATGGCAAATATTCAAACCAGAGCTTTACAGGGACATCTCTTTTACTAAACTAAACAGAAGAGTTTTTTAATGGATAAATCAGAACTATTTGGCCCATTTAGTGAATGAACAGCTCATGGAAGCTGACTTTTTATCATCTTTTTGGGCTAAAACAGCTCGAAAGAGCTTCTCTCTCAGTAAGAAGTCACCTGTGATCTAACATTGAGGGCAGAGCTTTTCCAAAGATCCGTTTCGATTTGGGCTGTGTTCGATTAGAAGGAACTCCGATTTTCTTTGAATCCATGCGCTGACTGAAGCCAGAGCAAAGTTAAGAAGCTGAACACAGTCCCGACTACAAATCCGATCCTAGGCTGCCCAACATGAAACATAACTCACCGGAGCCTTTCGATACTGGCTGTGTTTACTGTAAGAGCCGGAGGGATGGAGTCAATAGGTGCATTTACATGGTAATGACCCTCGTGTTTCTTTGCTGTACAGGCTGCTCGGACCTCCATGTTTGTCTGCTCCGGCACAGTTTGTTTTGGGATCCATGGGAGTGTTTACCAGCGTGGGCCGAGGAATTTCAGGTCAAGAGAGCGTCATGTACAGAGAAGACCTACAACTGAATTGATCCTGATACCGACATCAAAGTGTACCTGCGCCATCCAGCTCAACCAGCTGAAAGCAAATATTTATCCTGCCGTGACGTAAAAGGGGGAGAAAATACGAGAGAAAAATGATTTTTGGCAGGTTTACGTGAGTGTGTGTTACACAGCACTGATGTGTTATTGTGGGCGAGTTGTATCTTAAAGCCTGAACAACACACCTGAACAAAACTTTATGGAGTAATTTAGTTTTAAGCATCCGCGGATTCTAAATAAATAACGAAAACTGCAGAGAGGGTTGGAGACACGTAACTTTGGCCATCTGTTCCTCTTCCTGTCGGGTGGCACCGTGTGCCAGGGCCAGTGGCCAGTGGACAGTGGACGGTGTCCAGGCCAATCTGAGAGCCTCTGCGAGCGGGTCCCACCTGGCACAACTGTCCTCAAAACTCACACCGTCACAGACGGGCCGAGAAGTGTGGAGGCTGCCGTGACTCAGATCTGTGAGAAATCAACAGCGCTGTGAAAAAGACTCCGACTCCAAACAATTACAGCGCCGAGCGGCTGAAAAACACGGGTTCATGGAGTCCTCCCATGCTGAGGTTCACTTGTTTTCCCAGGGAGGTCAATCACACCAACTTTTTACTGATTCCAACATCGCTGATTCAAAATAACGTTATGAATTTGAGTATTATGTGTGCAAACAGTCACAGAAAAGTGACCATCGGCTTCGAACCAGTTCAACCGAAGCAAATCAGCATATTCCCATAAAACATGCTCATGCTCTGCGTTTTATTTTATTTTTGTTCTTTTCAAAGCTTGAGCAGTTCAAACTAAAGATTATTTCATTGGAGTGCTTCTGTCTGAACTCATCCTTCAAAGTGTGAGTCTTCACAATGCATTTTTGTGTCTCAGATTAGCCAGTTCATCCCAAACAGGCAAAAAAGAAAGCATCTATCTCTCAGAGACCACATTTTAAACAGGAATGGAGTTAGATACAGATAATCAATTTAACTGAAAGAGAGTTTGTCATATCCTATATAAAATAACATTTAAAATGGGGTGTAAAAATCGGACAACACGCAGATCTTCATCTTTACCATGGAGACGTTCTCTTTTTAGCTCGCCCTGCCTTACAGCAGATCTTGCTCTGACAGGACAATGTGTGATGGCCCCCCTGTGTGGAACAGAGTGGAGCTCTATGAATAACTCCCCTCGCAGCACTGAATGGCACTTTGCTTTCCCACAGTATTACTCAGTTTACACCCCCAACATGGCAGGATAAGCAGCGAGCCAGACGCTGGCCGGGCACCCCGTTCCAAGCTGCCAGTCACACCAAGTCTGTTCAAAAGACGGAACGCCACCAGTGAGAAACGGCCAGAAAGAAATAAGACACAAACACACGTTGTGCCGCTGTCAGTGGGATGTGGAGCAGGATTTATCAAAGGCAAACGGTAAAAGTCTTCAGCCATTAACGTCAGCTGGGTGGTTCTCACAAAGGTGATTCTTTACTTTAACCATACGAATGCCTCATATATAATTATGCTCGTATACAGTGGGGGAAATAAGTATTTGACCCCTTGCTGATTTTGCAGGTTTGCCCACTTACAAAGAATGCTTGTTTTTCCTCATCAGATGGATATCAATTTTTATAAATTAATATGATGTGATTTTCTGGAATCTTCTTTGGGATTCTGGCTTTCACTGTTAGAATGTACATATGATTAAAGTTATAGATCGTTGCACTCTTTGTAAGTGGGCAAACCTGCAAAATCAGCAAAGGGGTCAAATACTTATTTCCCCCACTGTATGTACTATCTGAGCTGCCCGTGGCTAAACATGAAATATTTGAGATGATTGTCTCTCGACATTGGGGAAAGCTCTTAAAAACACAAACCCACCCTCAAAACATTCAGGCTTTCACATGTGTGTCACTCTGGCTGGTCAGAGAATCAACTCCCCAGAGGTCTGCAGCCGTAGAGTTGCATGGGAAGAAGCTTTTAAAGAACAAATGCACCGGGTGAATAAATAGAGGGGAATAGCTTTTAGGCTCAAACCTGTTTGAATAACGTTACCACCCCCGTGACAAATCCGTCCACTACCTGCTTTGTTTACAGCGAGTATCCCTGAAACACTGAAAGGGTTTTTCCACTCACATTTGGTCCGAGTTTACAGAGCAAGGCCTGACACCTCCAAAAGAGTTTGAGCTTTTTGTAAACACCAGTCAGACAGACTGAAAACTACACGTATGGTGTAAGACCCAGAATAAGGCTCCAGACACGGGTTGATCCCTGATCAACAAGTCAGATGGAGTAGGAGCTAACAAAAGGAACGCGTTTGTGACCGACATAAATGTGTCATCCATCCGCACATGACTCAAGCATGCGAGCCTGCTATAACAGGGTGAGACAGAAAAAAGAAAAAAAATAAAACAGCACAACTTCACAACTGCTTTAAATTTCATCGGCAACCCAGACAGCCTATAACAGAGGGCAGAGGCAGTAAATCTTTCACTGTGCGGCTTTAGCCTCGGTATGATTTCCTGCTGGGAGAGCAGACTGTCATTAATTTATTGTCAGACACCACTGGAACTATGTGTCTCCAAAGAAAGGTTTACGCCTCTCAATAGAGTGCTGTGGGAGGGCCCGTCACACACCACATCAGAAATGTTAAGTCCACTCTTGTGTAATGTTTTGGACAGTTTCTAGGGACACATGCGTGCCTTCGCTTTCTCCTTACGACAAATGCAGCTGCAATCAAGTCACACGGTCTGACATGGAAAAGCCATTTTGCAATAAAATCGGACTTTTTTGATACAGACCGACAGAGAGAAATGAGCAGAAGAGGGCTATTAGAGAAAGCAGCAGGGAAACAGTGAAAAAAAGGAAAAGCTACCCGGTTGAGTCAGGAGACCCGCATAAGTCACATATTGCTGGGAGAAGTCAGATGACTGTCTAAGGTGATGAGCAATTGGTCAGTTTACTAAACTGCCATGAGCCGGAGCGATAACAATGAAGAAGGGACTCACAAACTCACTGGGGGATGTTTGTAACAAACTTTGATGGGAAGTCAAATGTTGATTTACAATTTTTAGTTAACATGAGTGGAAAAAAATATAATCACGCAATCCAACTGTTTGCAAATGTCCACGCAGAATAACTGGAGATAATGTAGAGGGGACAATAATAGAGATAAAACCAGTAAAATAGTTACCAGCCCTGATCAAAAGCCCTTCAACAGACACAATGAAATGGCTAAACATTACAGACAAGCCAAACTCCCCAAGGGGATATTGTTGTGATACCACAGGAGATAAAAAAAAACAGCATAAGGCTCATTGAAATCCACATGAATCCATCACTAAGAGCCATAAGAAACACACACAATCTCTCCAATGGGTAACTCTGTAAGGAAACTGGCTGTGGGACTCACTGTGTGAGTTCAAACCAATAAACTCTCCACATCTCCCAGAAAAGAAAAAAAGTATGACAAAAGATGTTGAAACAAACGCACCTTCCATCCCGCAGAGCTGTTGCTGTCCCCTTTATCTTTGAAGTAAGGCACACTCTTCACCATCCAGTCGTAGATCTGCGATAGCGTCAGCCTGTTCTCCGGAGAGCTCTCGATGGCTTTGGTTATGAGGTCTGCATAGGACATATTCCCCCACGCGTTCCGCCGGGAGGAGCTGCTCTTCCTCTGGGCGGCGGCGGCCGCGGCTGCTGCGGCCGCGGCTGCAGACGGTGAGGAGCCCACCGGGGCCCCCAGGAGAGGCACCTGCTGCGTCTGCGCCTGCGTCTGCGGGAGGTGCGGGAGCTGCGGGTTCTGGTGCTGCTGGTGCTGGTGCTGATGCTGCTGGGGGGCCGGCTGGTGGACGCAGGGCTCCTGGCACTGGAACTCGGCGCACTTCTGCTCCGCGAAGTCCTCGCTCTCCTCCAGCAGGCTCAGGCTGCTGATGAACTCCGCCGTGCCTCCCGCGGGCTCCTGCTTCACGGACGGCACCGGGGAGGACGTGTTGGAGTCGCCCGGGTTGACGATGAACTCCGGCCGGGGCAGGGGCCAAGTGCACGACCGGGGCCGGGAGAGGGGCTCGAAGTCCGGGTCGATCTCCACCAGGTGTGGCTGCTGCGCCGCTTCCGCCATGGTTCGAGACAGGTGAGTGAGAGAAAGGTGTTCACAATGTCATGAAAAGTGGAACCCGACCTGTCGACCCCTCAAAAGCGGATAGTTTGGCCTTTGAAATGTGGATTAGTCTGACAGTACAGAAAGCAGTGCTCCGCCTGCGCGTAAAGTCTTCACTGGCTGTCACATCCCAAGCCGGTTAAAGAAAACAACAACGCACATATCCAAAGCAAGCAAACAAAAACTGTGTGAACAGTTAAAAAAAAGTAAGCCTTTACAGCAGGTTTCACGCGGAATAAAGTTGAGGAGAAGGCAGCCGGTTTGTGTTTGGGATCCAGCCGTGGAGCCGTGCGTCTGCGCCCCGCACAGCCTGTTGACTCTGTGTTGTGCAGCATGTGAGGGCTTACTGGAAGTATCGTTTGGCAACTGACACCGCCCACATTTGACGGACGTTTTCAAACCACCAATGAACAGAACAGAGAGCCTCCATGGAAGGGGGGCCAGCCCCCCTTTCTCGTTCTAGGGGACCACAACTGCAACCTTTCTGTCAGTTTCAGTTTTAAAAAATGTGCCAAATCTGGACCAACTGATTGAGCTGACTTTACTGGTTGGAAAGGAAGTACAAAAACGAGCATTGCTCTTGTCAAGAGTCAAAATGTGACACCCACTGGTCAAGAGCTGGAGCGTGATTAACCCCCACATCTTACTGTTAATTCAGCATTTCTGTAATTAATTTCAAAGGATTGACACATGTTAGGACGCTTGTAAATTAGATCCAAATTATTTCAGATCTTTCAAAAGTAATTTTGGAAATCTCCACAAAATTGTTAAGCTCAAGAAACGTACAGATAAAACTGAAATATGGTTTTGGCTGAAATGAGTCATATCTGGGATGGGGTGACACACAATCATGAGGAGTCATCCGTAAAAAGCGTGCTGTGATGTGTGGAGAACCAAAAGCCAGTTCGGTGCAAGTTAAAGGTTTCTTCTTAAGCCTCACTTGAGAAAAATGTTAATTATATCTGTTGAGAAGAAGATCCCCAGGGTTGACAGGGAAGCAACCGACACAAGTGTCATTTGTAAGAGAGGAAAGCATGAATTCCTGACTGTGGCCGCACAATTCTGGCTCCAAACGTTGTGCAGAAGGTTGTGGAACTAAGACCTAAAGTGTATGCCTTTTACATTGTCCACTGTAATGTCTTTTGGGGATATGAGGTTCATTTGGACATACTCTTAATTTGTCAGAAAATTTAAAAGGGTTGCAAGCGTTAAAAAAATCTACAAACTTCTCTGAACTTAGAGTTATTTATAATATTATCTATAATCTATGATAAGCAATAATGGTTGGAAGGAAATCCACCAAGCCTTTTGATCATTTCTGACCTCAAACATCAATGTTTATTTTGACCTGTTAGTTCCAATTTATGTATTCATCATATTCTGCTTTAAGAATATTAAATATAAGTGAGCTTCAATTATACCTTTCTTCCATGTTTGTTTGCAGGAAAACCTTTGCTCTTTAAAAAAAGAAAACACACTAGGCTATGTTCCAGTTTATTTTCAGTATTTTTGTTTTGCTCAATTCTTGCTATGTCAAATCCCCTCATTATGTTATAAATTCCAAAGGAAATGCCATAGTGAATGGGGGGGGTTGACTCTGTGTGGTTATACATGAATAAATAGGGTCTTAGAACATATATTTCACATAAACATCCATTCACATATCAGAGTTGTGTCTTTTGAATCAGATGGGGTTTGGTGTCCTGCTGGACCTGTGGAGTGTAGCGACATCTTGTGGTCATCTTTAGCTGTTACAGCTGAACGCAAAACCACAAATTTATTCAGAGGTTGATGACTTTCTTCCATAGAAAGCATGTGAGTCTACAACCCCCAAACAGAACCACACGGATTTGGTTTGCAGCTGTAGTAAAAAAGACAAAGAATACAAGACAGAGGGATCCTTGTTTACAGTCTCAGCATAATTTATCACTGATATGTTCATTTGCCAATGCTACATAAATACAGGATCATCCATCATGTTTTTTCTGTGTCCTCCACTATTGTGAGGGAGGTTCGAGATTACTTTTGTTTGTTTAGGGCATACAAACTGTGTCGGACTACATTTGCAAAACACATGGACACAGACAAGGACAGTATAGGTAGTCAACATGATTTTATTCTGTACTTTCATACATTTTCTGTTGATTCTGGACATTCTGTCTGCATGCACCTGTATTCATGCAGGTATCCTCCCACTCATGTTCAGTGGAGGATTTGGAGGAGCTTGCCTTTGGTTGATGGTGTATCCAATCGACTGTGTGAGGTCCAGGATGCAAGTATATTCTTTAGCTGGGAGGCAAGAGGGTTTCACTAAAACATTTTTGAGAATCATATGCACAGAGGGTAAGATCTGCAGCCATATCTTACTGTTTACAAATAAACTCACTTTTGTGACAATTAAGGAGCACAACTGACTATTTCTCCTCACTAAATCACAGTTCAATGGACAGTAATTGTGTAATCATGATGATCACACATGGAAACCAGAAGGTTAAAGTAAAAAACATTTCTATAGTTGCCTGATGTACATCATAATTGTTGTTGTGTGCAGTTAAAAACCAATATGATAAACAGTGGCACCCACTGGCCAAAGTGAGAGCAACAGAGCAGATAAACAGAAGAGTTTGATCCCTTTCGTGTTGTTCTCTCAGTCCGTTTTTTAGACATTATTAGTGAGATGATTTTCACTTCATTGTAAATAGGACTTTGAACAACAATGGACTATTGCAATGTGACATTTTCTGGTTTATGAAAAACAAACTGATGTTTAAATCAGTCTGCAGTTGTATTTAAGGTCAGCAAAAGTTGTATTTAAGGTCAGCAAGTCTCCTTCTGTCAGACCTGGATGAACTATTGAGCAAAATTACCGAAAAAGTGACTAAATACAGATGAAAAAACTACTCTCAGCCTGTTGAGGGAGCCAAATTCAAATGTATCACTGACTGATGTGGCAGCACAGCTGGAATAAACCTGACCGAAGTCCTGACCGAAGATTTTCACGTTGTCCCCCCCCACAGGGTTCACTGATCTGTACTCGGGCCGGACTACCATCATACGCAGCTTTATGATGGACATAGCTGGGGGCAAGTCCACTCACACACTAATCAGTGTCACAGCTTCATTTGATCTGAGAACATAACGCCCAAACATCAGGTTCTTTCTGCAACATATCTCAATAGATTAAGGGGTGGGTCTCTGCACTGTGCTGGCTACAGTATTTAAAATAAAGTTCTGAATCTCAACATCACATCCTGGTTTGACGCATGTGTCTGTGGAGCTGTTGGAAAGTGACTGAGGGTGTTAGCGGCAATTTGACAGTCAAACTATGACCTTTTCAGCCAAACAATTCACCCTCATCTTCCTCACCAGCTGCACTCAAACGGTTCACCAACATTTACCTTTATAAAACATTTAGAATGTTTAGATGCTGAAATTGGAACATTATTGACAATAAAATGACAACATCATCAAAATGTGAGTGCATCTGAAGTCTCAAAACTTAAATTTGATCTAACATGACTGTGGATTGGCAGCTTGTCTTGTAGGAAGACGGCCTTGTGACTTTGCACAATGGGACCGTCCATTAACTAAAATAAAACAGGAAATGGTCATTTACCGTAAGTGTTGTCTGTGGAGAAAATTGCCTTTTGTGGCAGACACGGTTTGCATTTTCTCCCCACATCATCTCAAGTTTCAAACCTCGGATACCCGCGATTATTTATTCATGACGTGCTGTCAGGTGATAGGACTCCTCTGCTTGTGTATGAGGAGAGACTTGGAAACTCAGAGGGCTTAACTTTAGGATATTAGCTTCAGGAGCCACATGGAGGCTGGATGTGCCGTGGTTCATGTTACCAGCTGGCACCAGCTAGGTGAGTCCAACAGCCTTGTGTTCGTATGTGTGTGTGTGTGTGTGTCTGTGTGTGTGTGTGTGTGTGTGTGGTAGGCAAAGCAGCACCAGGGAAGTGCATAGACCACACCCCGCCGAGTGAATAGTGGTAAACAAGTGCTGCTCTGTCCATCTCACAGACGACTCACCAATGATCTCCACAACATCCAGCACCGCAGAGATGGTTACGCAAGGTAAACTTCAAATCAGCGTGGACAATGTGGAAGGTAAATACTTCTCTATATGTTAGTAAGTGGGCATGAAATGATTGCTATTGCACTATCATATGAGGAAATGTTTGTTTATCTATTTTTTTCCCCAACAACTTAACTGTAAAGCACATAAACTGAATGGGAAAAGTCCTGGTGAATTAATGGGTGATTAATCTGCCCTTTATACTGGCAACCTGGCCACTTTTACGCATCTGTTCTTTAAGTATTTATCATCATTTTGTGTAGAATGTTTGTTTTTTCTTTAAAATAACTAAATGTAAGAGTAATCACTTTAAACATTAGACTGAAAGTACTGAGCATAAACTGTACTGTCATCCATGGTTATGACATGGTGATATAGCTTAATGTGAAATTGTTTTAATGTCATTATATAAACCACTTTCGTCATTAACAACAGTTTTACATTCAGCTTCATCATCCTTCCCCCTAACTGGCTATTATACAGCCCACACTACTCTGTCCTCCAGATCAAATTGTGTTCGAACCCAATTAGTCAGTTTGTAAATCGGATTCAGACTTGATATTGGAATATTTGGGCTTAAAAAAAGTCTTCCCTTCAAGGTGAAATAATGCTGTGTATGAACATCTATAGATTCAGTCAGATGTGTTTTAACTTTATGTAAAAAAATAGTAATTCCACACTGAGAAAAGCTCTTCTGTCATTCAAAATATGGAGTCCAATCCTGCCTGTAAGCCATGGAGGCTTCCTTTATTCTGTTTGTTGACTCACCAGCTAACATTTTTGGATAATATCTGAGCAATGGCTGGTTCGTTAACCCTCGAACGTAATGAGCATCTGCTTCATACTGCATGTTTGTTTTTACTAATAAGAGTGATTAGGGCCATACGGGTGGGTGGATGGCTGGATAGATGTTGAGAAATGGGTGGAAATGTTGATGCATTTATTTTTTCTAGTGGAAAAAAACAACAAAAAACAAGTAAGGTGATAAAAAAAAATATTACAAAACACAAAAACTTACTGACAAAACAATACAGATAATGATGGTTGATAAAATAGTTATTCACTAGTCATTTGAAGTTGATCCCATGACTTCCCTCAGAGATTAATTACATAATTAATGACATGGGAGGGTAACCCAACATAGTTCAGGCCTCACAGCAGGAATGGGTTGTTACCTTCGAAGAGGGTTCTGTCCCACCGGATCATTTCCCTGTTTAATCATCTGTTAACCAACCCACAACAACAGCTCTCTCTCCGTATTTGGATGAAAATACATAGAAAATATCTGGTGGAGGAGTCACAGTCTTTTCTCTGGCTGCAGATAAGAACGCGGGGAGACTGGGCTGCTTCGGCTGGCTGCTGGTCATCGTATCGCTTATCTTCGTAACCCTAACTTTCCCAGTCACTTTGTTCATGTGTGTGAAGGTAAAGTATGCTCTCACACAATAGAGTGCTTCATTCATATGTGGTCACTGTCCTCTGCTGCCTGCCCTGAGTGTTTTCCCTCTTCTCTGATTGGATGTTGGTAACTGTGGTTTCTGTCGCCGATGTCCAGATAGTGCAGGAGTATGAACGAGCGGTCATCTTCAGACTTGGTCGGATCTCTGACCGGAAACCTAAAGGGCCAGGTTGGTGATTCACAAGACTGTGTAATGTAATCTTAGTCACATGGTCATTCTAGAACCAGACTAAAAAGCCTGCTCAGGTTTAAAACTATGATCTGATCTCCTTTTCCAGGACTTTTCTTTGTCCTGCCCTGCACTGATAATTTTGTGAAAGTAGATCTGAGGACCATATCCTTTGATATTCCTCCACAAGAAGTGAGTTTATTTTTCTTCTCCATCATCTATTTTAGACATTTTACCATATTTTTGAGCAGTAATAAAAAAGGACTATACGTTTGAATCGTTTCTTTTTCTTGACCTTTGCAGATCCTGACCAAAGACTCGGTGACCGTGTCTGTGGACGGTGTGGTGTACTTCCGCGTGCACTGCCCTATTTCATCTGTGGCCAACGTGTCCAACGCACATTCGTCCACACGCCTGCTCGCCCAGACCTGCCTGAGGAATGTGCTCGGCACTAAAAACCTGGCTGAGCTTCTGTCTGACAGAGAGGGCATTTCCGTCAGTATGCAGGTAGGATGGAGCCGCTTCATGAGATGATGGCTACAAAGGAAATGGGTTGCCGGTGGGAAATAGAGCTCAGATTTTCTGGGGGTACCAGAACACTCTGTACCTTCACCAGATGAGTGAATCTAATTCATGGCCCCTTAAATTTCCCAAATTCTGCACCAAGCCTTCATACTGGCTGCACTGCTGGTCTATAAAACCATCAGACCTGATATCATTTCCTTACATTAATGTATTCTATTTCACAGTTTGCAGAAAAATTTAAACGTAAAAAGGATTTTTTTTTAAAACAACACATAAAATACTACAGTTTGTCTTGTTGTTGATGACCTCATTGGTGGTGAATTACCATAATTTCCACCAGGTGACAGTATGACTGCCAAACAATAATTAAAGCACCTGTTTAACACCATCTGAAAGTTGTTTTATGAGCATTTGCTCCACCATGTTGCCTCGTAGGAAGCCCTGGACGAGGCCACAGATGCGTGGGGCATCAAGGTGGAGCGGGTGGAGATCAAGGATGTGAAGCTACCGCAGCAGCTGCAGAGAGCCATGGCGGCAGAGGCCGAGGCCAGCCGGGAGGCCAGGGCAAAGGTCAGAGCAGCAGGAGGACAGAGACACGGACATAAGACAGTAGAAAGTGAAGCAATGATTCTGTGTTTCAGATCATTGCGGCAGAGGGAGAGATGAAGGCCTCCAGGGCTCTGAAAGAAGCCTCTCTGGTGATCTCTGAGTCGCCCTCTGCTCTTCAACTGAGATACCTGCAGACCCTCAACAGCATCGCAGCAGAGAAAAACTCCACCATCATCTTCCCTCTGCCCATAGATATGATGCAGAGCTTCATGCAAAGGAAGGGCTGAGTCTCATTTAGTACGTTTTATGAAATAGATGAGGTCAGATTGGCTGTTCGTGTTGATGTTGTTGGAACTTTTGGAGTTTTCCATTGCATGTCTATAATACCATAATAAATGTGGTCTTGGAGGCCTAGTGTGTACATGATAACATTTATATTTTTATAACAGATTGAGCTTTATATTGTAGTTAAATCTTGGCGGTGTGGTGGTTAGCTGTTGAAATCCCTGGAGATCTTTCTGCCTTTTGCATGTTCCCCCTGTATCTGCGTGGGTTATCTCCAGCTACTCCGGTTTATTCACCCATAAATCAGTAAATCTATACAGTTTCTGGGTTTGCGTAACGTGATTTAATACTTGAATACAAAGTGCAACATATAGATAGCCATCAACTCTCATCATTGTTGACATTTTAACCAGATGAGCTACATTTTAACTTCTGGAGCAGGACGCATGAATAAAAGTGAAGTGACACAAAAATAACGCACAAGCTTATGTGAGGTCATGCTTTCATACAAAGTCGTCCAAACAATAAACTTCTGAACTACTTAATGCAATCATTCAACGTAAGTCATGTAAACGATCAACAGAAGTACAGACATCCCTCTTTGAGTTTGGAACCAAACTGTAAACAAACGCTTACTGTAGTGTTAAAGGAACATTCAGTAAATGAGCACGGCGTCGTGTCCACAGGACACAAGAGGCAATCAGTGCAATCAGAGAACCTGATGGGGGAAAAAAGGCGGTTTCCACTTCTTCTCCTCTTCCCTCCGGATAAACACAATCACATTATTGTCCGATCAGTAAAATGGAGTGACGACCAAATCTCCATTTGGCATATTTCTACATCTTTTAAGGAATATGTATGTAATACGTGTTAAAACACTTTATTTTCACACATTGCACTAACCTCTTCAGAATATGTCCACGTGCTGCTAACACCCAAATGACTGTATACAAAGAATATCTTGCAATACAGACTATTTAGATGATTGGATGCCGTATGTAAACATGGAAAAAAAAGACAATGAATACTAAATAAACGCTATGGCAGTCGCCTCCCTTTGTTGACTCTAAATGCGTCTCAGGTCCTGAGATATTTGTCGTTACAATGAGAAATGAGGTAACATTTTTCTGTTTTTGATCAAATAACTTTAAATGCTGAAAAGGTCAACCTCGAGGTACGGTTATGGAGTTTGGGAGGCATAATTTTATACCTTTTTTTGTGGTGAAAAATAAATATATATTCAACAACACAGAAAAAGCAACAATTCTTAAATAATAAAGAAACTAATAAATTACTGTGCATATTAAAAGAGTAAAAATTCATGGAAATTATACCTTGAAAGCAGCATTTTTGGCAGATTCTGCAGCAACAAACTCGAAAAACATAGATGATGCAGTACACTATCAAGCACTGTTCCCATTGATCCCTCTTTGGTGGTTCTGGGAAACACAGTCACACTTTTTGAACCCATGTGGAGAGCGACGGACTCCAACTTGACAATCATCTCTTTCTGTAATTTTGATAAATCCAGTTCAGTTTGAATAGAAAGAAGATTTAACTTATTTTGCCTCCTTGCCTTTCTATAATTCATCATCACACTATAGGTTAAGTTAAAACAAACTGTCACTGGAAGACAAACCATGCTGTAAATAGAGAAATACCTGTACAGATTTTACAAATTTCGGTAGGTAATATAGTCGGACTGTGTTGGCAGTTCAGTGAGTTCTTATTCGCTGACAGCAAATGGTTTTAGAGGAATGTAGGATGCATGACAGAGGTTTGTTCCTGATGGTATTCATTCATGATATTCCTGATATATGAACTATTGCCCCAGAGAAGAATCCTCCCTTTGAGATCGATGGACTGTAGGTAGCTTTGTGACTGTACTCGGGTCTGACCTGTGCCCGGGCAGACGTTGCTGGTGGGGGAGGCGGTAGAAGGCGCTTCTTGTGTTTGTAGTAGCACTTCCCATGGTTTTTCTACGTCTTTTTTTTCATCCATCATCCTGAGTGCTGGATGGGGAGATGGAGATGTAGATGGAGGCAAAAATATGGAGATGAGGCACTGCGAGGTGGAGCGAACGAGCTCCTCTTCCGGCTTTCTGGGGAGCTGAGATGCTTCCTCTTATGCAATCAGGAGTGGTCATCGATACAATTCAGTCGGTCAAAGATTGAAATTCCCGTGGTTTGACTTTGGAAATGCCTCCCAACAAACAAACAAACAAACGAGTAATTAAAAGAAGAATGTGCCATTGGGCAGAAAAAATGAGGGACTTTCTGACATTGATCAAAGAAAGCGTTTGTTTTAAGAGCTCCCGTTGAGGGCGTCATTGATGGTAGGAGTGCGGCCGGGCGGGGGAGCAGGGTCCAGACGGGGGTCGGTGGATGGGGGAGGAAGTGGGGGTCATGTGAGGGCTTAACTCCCCCGTCTGCAGGCGCCACATTAGCTCCTCGTTGGTGCGACTCAGCCGCTTCTTCTCGTTGCTCTCCTTCTCCACGTGCACCTGCAGGTTGGCATTTTCCTCGGAGAGTTGTCTGAAGAAGAAAAGGAAACCGATCAAGACTTTATGTTTCTGTAACTGCTTCAACTGGATTTGACTGTCCTCTGATGAACAATAAACAATGAATGATGCGTTGCCATTCAAACTGACCTGGACACCGCAAGATTCTTGTCTATTCTTTCCTTCAGGTCCTCGTTCTGCTGCTGTAACACCTGCAGTCGCTCCTCCAGGTACACGTTCTTTTCAGCCTGCTCAAAAACACAGATGACAAGGTGCCCAACATTAAATTCTTCAAACGGGGTACACAGTCTAGAACGAGAGCACTTTAGGAGAAGCAACTTAAAGCCTACTATTTTCTCCAGTTCGGATATCTTTTGCTCTTGTTGATGAATTTGCTGATTCTTCATCTCCAGGACTTCTTTCAGGCTCTTCAGGTCCTCTTCGATGTGTTTATACGGAGCCAAAGCGTCCTGAAAAAAAGATAAAGCAGCAGTTTTATCATGTCGCTGTGAAAAGCGGAGTTCTCTTTGAAAAGCACCTACCACTATCTGCTCATCTGTGCTCTTGCGGAGAGCTTCCTCAAACCGTTTCGCTCGGTCTCTTAGGCTTCGATTCTGAAATGTCAGCGTGTCCACTTGATCCTGGACACCAGAAATATATCAGTTGTTTAATAACTAACACTGTCTCAATATGCTGTCAAAAAGTTAATCTAAGGAGTTCATTCTTAAATATTTAGACCTGAAGGGAAAGTCGGATCTTTAGAAACTCTTCTTCCAGAGACTTCTTCTGCTGTTCGTGGGCCATCTTCAGATCTAACAGACAGAAACAGCATGTGGTTACATCTTTCACCTGCCGCAGAGTGGACAGGGGAGTAGAAAGCCTTCGAATGTGCAGCCTACTCTTCACAGTGCGGGCGTGCTCCTCCTGCAGAGTGGCCAGCGTGTCATTGTGAGTCGTCTCCATTTCCATCAAAGACGCCTCGTGGTTCTCCGTCACCTCCTCGAGCTGCATCAAAGTTTAGACTTTTAGCAATGGTTAAAAAACAAATACATTCAAAGGAAGAAACAAATGGACGTGTAGCATGCTATATTTTGGATTTCCCTTGCATGGAAATAGTCCACATTCTTTATGCTAACGACCATTTTAGCGCATCCTAACTGAGGAAAGAAGATAATATGCTCATTCTTTAATTTTTTGGGTCAATTTCAACCCTTTAAGTGACATTACAGACTAACTCTGACCTGTCCAGCTCACACACCTGCTCTTGCTGCTTTAACTGCAGCTCCTGGAGCTCGGCCTGCTGTATGGCCTGCAGGTTCTCGGTGGCGTCCATGTGTTGAGCCCTCAGCCGCTCCTCCAGCGCTCCCAGCTCCTCCTGCTGCTGGACCCGCAGCCCCCGCAGCTCTGCCTCAAAACGCCGCTCCACGTCCGCCTTCTCCCGCTGCAGTTGCTCCCAGTGTGCCACGCTGCAAGCTGGGAATACGGTGTGTGTGTGTGTGAGTGTGTGTGTGGGCAGAGTTAAATTCACCAGACTAAAGTTATTAAGGAACTTATTTTAAAATGAAAAAATAAACTAAAAAAGATGTAGGTTAATCTGATTTTTTTTTTGTTTATATTGTAATAAAAATTAAAATATCTTTAAAAAAATCTCCTTTTCTTTCTTTCTTTTTTAATTTTTTTTTTCTTCTTTTTATTTTTTTTTCCTTTTTTTTCTTTTTTCCCACGGAGAGAAAAACCTCCTTTTCTTTAAAGAATGACTGTCTATGTATCATTGCTATAGTAGTAGAGCAAATATTTTGTAATAATGCCATATAGATCATACATTTCCTGTTATCTGATTAGAAGATGGTCTCTACAATAGTATCATGACCTGTGAGACTTGTTGAGTCCCCCCTGCCCCCCCCATGATGACCTATCGATTACACTGTTACCTACTTACCCACTTCATCCCTGATTTTGGTGAGTTCCAGGGACAGTTCCCTCTCCTTCACAACAGCACTCTCACTCTGAAACACAGACACAAGCAGGACTTTATTTGCATTTACTGTAAAAATCATGATCACAGTAAAGCAACTAAATAAAAACCCTCATTGTGTAGTTAGCTAAAGGCTAACTTCCTACCATTCCAACTATTGGGCTACTTGGCTGCACTTTAAAAACTGTTTGAACATTGCTTTGCTTGTACAGATGTGGCCGTTTAGCTCCTGGATATCCCAAAAGATGAAGTGATCTTCTAAAGCTGGGACTGTGTTGTTTGACTACTCATTCGAATTCTGCACGCGCTTTTGCCTCACAGCGCATCAAATGAAAAATGTAGCACACACTCAGGAGAAATGATGTCACCCTCTGAGAGCTTTTCCCCGGAACACACTGGAGTGACCTCAGGAGGAATGAGACATGGTCAGTGCCATTTAACATGCCCAAGCTCCACCCAGTCCCTGATTCTGCTCAGACACCACCAGGCTCACTCCTTCCAGACAATTATGTATCACCAATCTCAATTTTTCTTCCAACATGTTGAAAACTTTTTGCATTTTCTAAATAGCCAGCAACTAAAACTGTTTTTTTCTCATCATTGACAGTGTTGATTAAATATTTGATAATCTTATCTATTCCTAAACAGAAAAATAATCAGCACCAGCACCTGGAAGAAAAGGCTGATCAACTACAGATTCTTGAATGGTTTAATCAAAAGTCACAGGCAGTGAATTATCTGATTATGACCCCATCAGAGAAGATCTTTGCAAAATATTTGAAAAAGAGAAAAATCAATTGCTCCTCATCACATAAGCGAAACAAACTAAAACTTAAGCTTGTTTTAGCTTGTCTCTGATGGATAAAGATATTTTACCTGACAATGAATCCTTTCACAATAATCCACATTGTGAAATAAGCTTTGATTTTTATATAAATATAAGAAAAGGTACCAGAAAATAGAAGTCAGCAGCTATGTCGACAGTCAAGTGGCATTGGGAAAAGAAAAAACTTCCTCTGTGTCTGTTTGAAATGAATAAAACTGAGCCATTTCCCATCGTACATAAGAAGTTCATGATGAGTAAGAAATAAGACACTGCATCATCACAGGCAGAAGATTTGTTAATGGTCAATTCAGAGTAATCACCTTGAATTTACCAGTGGATAAACTGGAACCAAACAGGGTACACACTAAAATCGAGATAGCTTGAAAACACAAACCAGCAGCATTTTATGTGTCATTCCTGTAAAAATATAAAGCTAGCTTTGACTCAGCATAATCATACCCAGCTCTGCACCCTCTGCCAGCCCCGTCGCTAGGAAACAAGTGAGTGGAATCAGCATATAGACAGCCATACTAAACCCCCCCAATACAGCTGCCACGCACACAAACACATGTGTGCACAACGACAAATACATAAAGTAACCATCTGTGCTGAAAAAGCAGCCTACTGCCTGCAGAAGACGCTGCCTTTACCGTGTGGTCCAGACAGCACAGAGGGAGGGGGGGCAGCCTACAGCAGCAGTGGCCCATACTAGGCTAGCAGATAGCAGCATCCCTTCGCCTGCTGGGGAGGCAGCAGTGGCAGAGGCAAACGAAACCAAAGAGACAGAAAGAGAGCTGGAGGAGGAGGGAGGAAAGCAGGGGGATGAGAGGGGAGGGGAGCCGGGGAAACCGAAGCCCTCACCTCGTTTCCTGGTTTCCTGCTTCGCCTCCATCGTTTATCTCTCCTGGAACAAAGGCGGTCAGCCCCAGCCCGGCTCTGCCAAGCCCTCCCCTCAGTCCCACATCAACACGCCCCATATCAGATTTATACGCACGGCAGAGAGCCGCACACACACGCACACACACACGCACACAGTCTTTGCATCTTTGACGGGAAAAAAGGTGTAGCCAGAGAAGATGGGGGAGGGAGATAATCAATGAGTGGCCAATTACTTCCTCTGTTACTAAGCAGAGCAGGATACAAATGGCCGGTTAATGGTAATTAGTTCAGTTTTTCTGACTCAGTCTGAAGGAATAACAGCAGACCCCAGATCTGATCAAACCACGAATACAACTGCTCAGTTAATAAACACTATAAACCTTAAATATTGGGGTGAGACAGCAGTAGAATGAGGACTTGAAAGGAAATAGACAATAATCTGTCTGTGTCCATGGAGTTCATGGCAAGAACTCCCAACCACAAACAGATGAGAAAAACACAATAACACGCAATATCCTTCCAAATATTTTACATTTGACATGCTATGTTTTAACCAACAGGGCAAGATGTGAAATAAGATTTGAACAACATTGTTATCTTTTTAAATACCAAATTCATGGAACATTTTTAGTGGACGTCCGATCAGTTTGTTGATATTTTCACAGGTCTCTTCTCAATAGGAGAATTGGCAAGTTTCCCATCCTAAAGGCATTTGAGGGTATTCTACCCTCAAACATGACAATGTAAAAGCAGAGCCAGACCCAACCAGGCAGCTTTAATCCCATTAGTCATTTCCCACAGAAGCCATGGGTGGGGCTGGGAGAGAAATTAAATGCAGGCAGAGGACAAGGAAAGGACAAGATACTGGACTTCAATCTAGGTCTGACAGCCGGAGTAATGAATGACTCCTTTTATAAAGACTTTTATTAAAAGAAGTAAAAACTAATTGCGCATGTTACTCAACTAATCCACCAATCAGTTCAACCTAAACAACACACCTATGAAATGACTACCTACTTCCAGACCTGACAAAAATGGAGAAGATGCTGCACATATACTGGAGATATGGGCTTAAATGCACATAAAATATAAAACGATGAATCACTGATGATGATGAACCACGCTATGACCCAAACATACAAAGAATAGACTTTGAGTGGGTTGAGTGGGGCTGATGACACATAGCCAGCTGCCGATTGGCCAGGGGAGTCACATGACTGGATGAAGTATTAAAGTGACTACTTCAGGTGAATCCCACCTGGTTTGATATCCAGGAGATCTTTGCAGTGATAATTAGCTCAGATAAGTCAGTTGATCATTCAACTTTTAGCCTTAGATGCTAGGGCTAAGCTAAAGATGGGGGAAAAGATACTGTAACACCTGCTGTAACTTTGTTTAAGGGTCAAGGATGAGAGACTTTAGACTCTCAGATGGCTTTAAAAGGAAAGAAAAGAAGAATGTGTACTGAGGTCCTAACATTTAGCTCAGTCCTACCTTGAGACAGAAGTGCTGTGTCGTGATGCTGAACACGTCCAGGCATAGGAAGGCCTTCTTTAACTGGGCCTGCAGGCTCTGGAGCTGCAGAGCCTGCAGCTCACAGCGCCCCTGCAGCTGCTGGATCAGAGCCCGGTCTACCTCCTGAGCCCTCACCGTCCGGCCAGAACCATGGACCCCCGCGTTCTGCCCATGAGCTGCAGACACAAAGACCAGGACAGTTACACAACCAAAATGCTGTCCGTATAACAATTAGAAGAGAAGTACACAACAAGTCTGGATAATTAAACATTCCTATTTCCTATCATTTACTCCTGTGAAGTGAGTATATTGGAGCTTAAAAAGACACCTAAACAAAGGAACTGCCGACTGTTTGGAAGCCTGCTGGTTTATTTACCGCCACAGGGATAGATGCTCTTTTAAACCTGTGTTGCTCAAATGTGATCAGAGCTCATTCCACTCAGTGTGCATTTTAAATAGCTAACAGTTTCCTCTGAGGGATCCATGTTAAGAAACACTGTAAACTACTGGGAGAAAAAAACTCAGTTCAAAAGGTTCTATGAATATATATATAAACATCTTGTGTCACAACCATTAGTAGATTCATTCTCCAGAGGTAGAAATAGGTTTGGGAGGTGACTTGGTTACCAGCCCAATGCACAGAGAAAGCTATGTCTCTGAGGTTTTCTTCAGTCCCTGAGCATGGAGCGTCCTACTTTTGCATAGTGAGTCCATAATGTGTGTGATATTAACTAATAAATCACCTTTGCAGGCTTTACTGTCTGTTCCAGAGCAAAACTCAACCCTGCTGGCTCATAATGTTGTAACCTGAGCCAGCAGGATAGCTGCTGATGGAGCCATTCTCGCTTTGGGGGCTACTTTGTCTTGTTGCTATAGCAACATAAGGCTGTCACGGGTAAAGTCTGGGAATGAAGTGAGGAGCGAGCATGAGAGATGACAGAGAATGGGAGCAAAGTCTTTAAAGCCACAGGGGCAGATGAGGTTGAAGATGGTGTTTGAGTCCTTTTGTTTCTGCGTGGAGAAAATCGTTTGTGTACAACATGGATGTCGTGTGGTGTGGGAGGCTCACCGGGGGACTGCGGTTTGGGTGAGACCACGGCAAACCTTTTCGGGGAGGATTTTGGGGAGGGCGTGGCATCTGTGACCTCTCTCCTCAAAGCTGTGTTAAAAAGAGAAAATGTTAACCTGCTTTTAATGTTCAGATTGAAAATACATTTTAAAAAATCAAATGTTCAGTTTGTTTTTTCTTTTGTTTTCTCTCAGAGATGGTGTTAGCTTAAGTATTACTCAACTAATTTAAATTTGCACAGATTTTCAATGGTCAAAACATGTCGGCCATCCATCTGAATTACAGCTCATAGTGGCCCCCTGGAAGTGAGCAGCTAAAAGGGGTTCATAGAAACTTATATTTGACTGGAGTAACAAAATTATCATATTTAGAAGTACAACACAGTCATTTTATCAGCTCAAAGGATCCCAAGTTGCCAGGTGCACTTACATGCAGAGAAAACTGATTATGATGGAGCATGATATTTTCATATTTTTTAAATCAGACCATTAGGTCTGAGTTTGAAAGTAAAGAAAAACATCTGACTTTTTATAACATGCAACATGCAAGTTTTTATTTTTCTGAATTATATTAATGAAAATAATCTGAGAAATAAAAGGTAATTTTGAGTGCCGATGACTTCCACTAGGTGGCGATGATGGCTAAGGTTCCAACTAAGGCTACTACTGTATGTGCATACACATTCTGTTGAGGGAACAGAAAGGGGCTGCACAGTGTGCACTGTGATAAAAAACACTTATGACTGCACAGTTAGTGTACAATCATTTATAACTTTTTTTCTATTTTTTCCAACTCCTATCTAGACTCTCATCATAGAAAAAAGGAATTTGGGGCTTTTGAAGCATTAGTGCTAATTTGATGCAAAAATCACAACAGAAAAAAGGAGTTTAAAAAGTGTAAATGTGTACAAATATCATAGACAGACAGGACTGCAGCTATACTATTAATATTCTCTTTTAAAAAGAAAAACCCCAACAAAGAGAGAAAATAATTCAATATAAATTTTAGAATATTCAGGAAATTTCTAAAGCAGCACTGATTATACAATTTACTTTAGAGAAATCCACTGACAAACAGTTAAGCCGTTAACAGCTTTAAGGATCAGATCAGTAGGTGAAAGATTGGACATTCCAATTAATTTGACATTACGGTGTAAATTATTCCAGTGGCGCTGTATGACAGAGGGTCAGGTGATAAACTATCCTCTAATCCTGACACCCCCACTAGAACACATTCACACGTCCAATTATGGGGATCATGTGATCACATGTGAGCACAACCTTGAACTCTGATATGGGAACTGCCAAGTACACACACACACAAACACACACACACACACACACACAGGCTAAATGTGCATGGGGGGTTTGCTTCCACTGGGAAGTATGGAAGCTTTGAGTGTTACCACTACTGGGATCTGAGTGGTATCAGGGTAGAAAAATGTGATGGTAAATGGAAAAATGTAGCAAAAAAATTTCTCAAAATACCGTGAAGAGATTCTCGAAGTCGTCACCTGTTACTGTTGTCATGTCATGTATGTTTTGTTCTCAGCTCTAATATTTTCCCAAAGAAAAAAATGACTATTCCCAATTATCTTGACACAGGCACCTTACAAAGTAACTGACCAGACATCTAATCTGACCTATTCATGAAATATTCAGCTCCAAAATCAATGGTAATGCTGACACATCCGGTATCCGTACTCCTGGTAAGATAAGACTCCCAAAGAACGACCGACCGGACCACAGAGGGGAAAAGACGCCAGCTGGAATGCAATCACAGATCAAACAGCAACGAGCTGGGCTGGAAAAAATCCAATTTAAGCAGCAGTAGAAAAAACTGGCGGCAGCATCAGAACTTCCAACCAAAATCAAAGTACTTTCTACTGAATGCCCCGGAGCGTCGGGCCTATGCGAAGGCCTTCTGCGGGACTGCAGTGACTGTCTCCTCTGCTGCAGTCTGACTAACCTGGGAGAGTCAGCACATTTACACCCAAACAGGAACAGAGCCAACTAAAGGACAAGCTGAAGTCACACTGCTAGAGGCTTGTTTCTTGCCTGTATGCAGAATAAACATCTTCTAATAATCATCCAGAATCTGGGATCAGGACTCTACTCTGCTGCTGAATTGTTCAGAAGGATTTCAAAACTTACAAGCACTTTATTCGACGGTTCCCATTCATCCACTGGTAACTCCTCTCTTTCATTTATTTTCTAAATAAAACCAATGTGACATGACAGCAGTTGGTAACAGAAATATTCATTATAATAACGTTCAAAATAATCCACCCATCCGTTTAATCAATGCATGGTTGTGGAGGGGCTCAATCAGCAGTCATTGGTCAGGAGACATTTAGAAAATGCATTATTAAATAGGTTTAATCTCCAGCCGTTAATCACACAATTAGAAATGGTCGCAGAGTGGAACTGTTTAATTGAAGGGAAAGGAAAAATAATGGGGCAATCAAAACGGAAATAACTTTACACTCATCACTGAGTGCAAAATAAATTAAAGAAAAAATCTGCTAGACCAAAAATCAACTTGTAAAATTGTCAAAATGTGGGACATATCTTCCCTCAGTGACTCGTACAAGCAGGTAAGTGGTAAAAAATGTCAGCTGGTAGAGAATATGTGGGATATCCGTTGGTCTCCGAATCACAAACTGAGCCACAGCTACAGAATGAAAATAAATAATTCTCTCTCAGACTCTGAGCCACATAATGTTCAAAGCAACAATCCCTGGCAAAGGCAAACCCGAAAAGGTCAAACTTCAAAAACAAACCGCAGTTCACATCCCACCAGTAAAGGCGTGCTTTCACAGCTACTTACAGCAAGCATCCTACAAGTAATTACAAATAATGGTCAAAATCATCTAATTTAAGCAGATTTGGACAAATAATGATGCCAAAAGTATTAGCCATTTTTTTCTATTCACCACCCACTGTCCACAGAGAGCAGCACATGGCACAACAGGGCCTTTCTGTACTCACTGGACAGATAAATGTCATGTCATAATCTTCTCTGTGTTCATCATGACGTCTTCCTCTTTGTGAGACACTGAGACACTGCTGGGAGGAATCTCTGCTAAACGTTTCTGCCTGTAACATGCATACAGTATGTCTGTTACGAGGCTGTTGCTCTCAGAGCCAAAAGCCTGCGGGGAAATACTCTCATGCATGTTGCCAATCATGTATATGCTGTCTGAGCTGTTTACAGGCATTTTACAATCTAGTAACCACCCATTTAGTGGGTGCAGCTCAGATGGAATTAAGTCTTTTGTTTCCAAATATGCCGCACACATCCATCTGACTAACAAATGTAAATGTCTGGTTGGTTGGAGCTTAGCTTTCAGAAACCAGGGGCAACAATCATACTGTCTCTACTACCTCGACTTTATGGTTGACAGCCATCCAAATGATTTTTTTTCTATAATAATGGATGTGTTTCCCACATATTTCTGAGCTTCACCATTAAACGGCTACGCTAAATGACACGTGCGTCATGCTGTATAATTTCACTACAGAAGGAAAGAAGGGGAAAAGAGGCTGTGTTGTCAAGCATTGGGATCTGATCCAGAAAAAAGAATCTGCATTGCTGGGTGAGAAGGGGCGGCAGAGCAGAAAAGAGCGACCAAATCATTTCTGTGATCCTGCCGTTTCACAAATGTGATGAATGAATGAAAAATGACAGGAGACAAGTCAGTCCTGCAGCAGAAGACAGAAGAGGTAGCTACTGAAGTGAAGATGTGGATGCCGTAAATGAAAATATAACACATATTTCAGATGGAGGCACCGTATGATGTCTGAAATATCTGAATTTAATCTCAGATAAAGTAGAAGTGACTCTGTGGAGAGAATGGGACTCACGCTGATTTGCTCTGCAGGGATCACTGTGAGTGCTTTCACTTGATTGGTTGCTGGACACAGATGAGACACTTGAGCTCCGGACGAAGCCGAGGGAGGCCAGCCGGGCGACCGGGAGGGAAGAGAAGCCCGGAGGACGAAGACCGGACTGGCCCGATCTGAGCAGGATGCCTTTGGGAGTGGTTTCTGGACCGGACCTCCTCTGCTCTCCAAGACCTTCAGAGAACAAAGACAAACATTTGACTCAACACAATCAAATCAATCAAATTCAATATGCGTGACAGCATATAATTCATTTGCACACTCATTCAGGTTCTCTGAAGAAGATCCCGATGGAGAATCAATGGGGATAAAATGGATGGTTGTTCTCACAAACCAAAATTGACTGCAGGTTTTTAGAAGCTCATTGAATAAAAATTCTCCCCAGCTTCTTGAAAAACTGAGGATAGGAAGTCAGGAATAATTAATTATTAAAGTAGGATAAGAAAACTCATAACATGATTTATAAATGTGGCCTAATCTTTTAAAAACACTGCCTTTAAAAAGAAAACACTACATCACACGGCTGACATTTCCCCATCCTTCTCACCCCTGGGCTCCTGGTGGGCGGCTGTGGGCGCCCTGGCCGGCTGGTGTGAGGCCGGACACGGCTTCTGATTGGTCTGCGGAGCCCTGGTCTTGGCTGCAGGCAGCCGGGTGACCGCCCCCAAACCCAGCTGAGGCCTCAAGGCTCTGGGTGAGCGGTAGACACCTCCTGCTTCTTGTGAAACATGCTAATAAAGAAACACAGAGTTACTTTCACAGCATTGATAATAGTTCCTACAAAAAAAGGTTCTAGACTTCCATGATCTTCAGTACTATGTGAAAAGAGCTAACTGTTCAACATATTAACTCATTGGCTGCCAAAGACCTCTATAGACGTCTTTTATGTTTTTTAACGCGAGTCGCTTGGGGGACGATCTGCTAAAGCTTTTCCTTAAATATCAGGCTTCTAGACAGAGTATGGACTAACAAATGGACCCTCTAGGTGGCTGTGCCACTTTTGATGGGAGATGAGCATAGATTGTAGGCAAATAAAAAAAAAACGCAATGGTTCGCCATGCGAGAAATGGCGCCGGTGAGACGCACGTCGAGGAAGAACGGAATAAGGTAGAAACACATTTTTTTTCCTGATGAAAGAAGAGAGTCTACTCTTTCTTTTGGTGTGTTCAGTGTTTACATAGTCATAGCACAAACGATTCTGTGGCTCTTGAAAAATCAGTCAAAATGCTCAAAAACCTCTGGCAGTATGGGACTCTGTTCTGAAAATGGCTGCCAGTCAATGACTTAATGATATGCTGTTAAAATGAAAAGACTTTTTCTACTATGTCGTGACTTCTGACCTCTTGGAGATATTTCCTGGACATCTCCTCATGAAAACTCTCGGACCTCCCGCTCGGCCTTTGGGAGGCGTGGCCGCCCGGTGGCCTGACCCCGCCCACAGCCGGGCCTGGAGGACAGTATCCCGCTCTCTGCATCTCCTGCCGAAACTTGTCGAACAAGGCGTTGGTGGAGCTGAGCACCGGGGTGGATCTGGACTGAGGAACCGCCCTGGAGTCTCTGTGGGCGGGGGGGCCACAGTGGGAGGACCTCGCTGGGTGTGTAGAAGCTTCATGCCCCCCGTCGTCTTCCTGTTTTGCTTGAGTGTTCTTCCGGACGTACGTGATGATCTTCGGCCGAACATTCTTGGGCCTCTGGACGGGAGAAGACCTCCTGGGGTCCACCTCTTTCTGTTGGGGGACCACGGGTTTGGGGATGCCGCTGCTCAGACCGGTCTTAGCTGGAGGCTTGACCGGTTGGCAGGGCGAGTCGCTGCGCCCCCCCGCCTGCGCTCGGGGGCTCTGGACCGTGGCCGGGGAGCTGGACGGCCGTCTCTTGGGGGAACAGGAGGGAGTTTTGGGGGATGCCGGTCGAGCGGGGCTTCCCCACGGCTTCCTCCTCTCCAGACTGGACGAGCTCGAAGCCGGAGCGTTTTCAAAGGAGCCCGGCTTTTTAGATGTGTTCTCAAAGGAGAGCTGCTTCTTCAAAGTCTTCTCAAACGAAGGCTGCTTTTTCACACTCCTGTCAAAGGAGTTTTGTTTCGTCGGAGTGTTATCAAACGATCCCTGCTTCTGTATGGCTTTGCATTCGGTTGATGACTGAGTTCCTTCCGTACCTGTGCCTGAACTCATCACATCGTGAGCTCCATCGGCTTGTGTGCTTTTATCCATCGTCACGCTGCTTTCTTTAAGTGCCTTTGTTGCACAGGACAAAGCCTCGTGCTCGGTGTAGTCACAGTCTCCCTCTGAAATGGTATTTCCTGCATCATTCCTCTGGTTATTGTTCTGCTTGTGCTCATCATTCCTCTCTTGTGCCTGTGACTCCACATTCTCCGAGAGAAGCGAGGAATTCAAATTCACGTCCAAATCCCTTTGGTGCGTTGTGCTTTTTTTTGCGAACAGCGAGGTATTATCGTCTCTTTGTCCTCTCTCTGAGACGGGGCCACAAGTGTGAGAATCCAGAGTCTGGTCCTCTAGGACGACTGGGTGAGATCCGGAGGCGAGGTTCCCGGAGTCCGTCACCGGTGTGGCCGTGGCGATGCTGGAGATGTTGGACAAGCAGGTCACAAAGACATCGGTGTCAGAGCTCAGCTCGGTCCTGGTCAGCTCTCTGCTCTCGGACAGTTGGGAGGCGGCTGATTCCTGCTCACACGCGGCCGACCTCTGCCCCCGGCTCCGGCCAGCTGCTGCTTGCTTCGATGCGAGCTGATCTTGGAGCTCCTGATCTGCAAGCCCGACAAAGTCCTCCCCGTCCTCAACCAGGTAGGCCTCCAGCTCCTGACACTCCAGCATCTCAAACTCGGCCAGCTCCGGGTCGTCGCACTGCGAGTCGGTGCCCCAGATGATGACTCTGTCCTGCACGGCAAATTCAGCGTTGAGTCCCGACAGGGAACCAGCATCTCCAGTGGTCCCTCCATCCTCTGTCTGGATTTCATTGGCATTAGCATCATCAGAAGTCTGTATTCCACCCCTCGGGTTGTTATTCCTTAGCTTTCTGACGCCGAATGTTTCCTCCTGCTCACACATTATTGGGACAGATCTGAGCTTCTGGTTTTCCTTCGTAAGGTCTTTAAAAATCACACATCCATGGAATCAGTAATGAAAAAGTATTTTCATCCATTTAAGAGTCTTAGGGGCATAACAACTTAGAGTCTGTTTTCACATTTTTTTGATAAGAATGAAAAAGTCTCATGACTAATTTGGATGATGGGTCCTCGTGATCTGGTGATCTGGTGTTGTTACCCTGAAAAACAAAAAAACAAAAAACAGAACAAATAAGAACTTATGAACAGCTCCTGAAAACTTATAAGCAAAGAGATAAACACTTCCTTCTTTTAACTGGCTGGAATAGATAAATTATTGTCATTTTCATTGCAGGACTTAGGTCTGCTTATTGTTTCAGCACTCTGATGAAATGACTGATATAAAAAAGAAAGGTGCCAGTTTTGTGTGCCCAACTTTTTACCGCTCCCATAAAATGGTGTAAAAAAAAAGAGAATCAGATAAGGATGTAAAACATCAAAGCAAGACTAAGCTCTGGGGTATTCCTGTGATCAGGGAGAATGATGCGCTACACACTCTGACAAGTGTGTGACACAACTGGATGGGACAGAATCTCATCGAGTTTCAGATGCCATCCATATTTCAGACTGCAAAAAAAAAAAAAAAACTGAAATAGGCCAAAGCTCTCTAATGCTCTGTCATCTGTCATTTGAAAATTGACCCATCAATTACAAAGAATACCACAAAGGCAGTTCTAAAGGGGCATGCTTCATTTGTGAACTGTTGTCTCATCTTCTGTAAAACTGTATTTTTGTGTAGTTTCGGCTGAATCTTTCGTTGTTTACTGCTGTATTCACGGTTCAGTACTCCTGCAAATAACAAGAAACCAAAAAAAGCACAGACACGGGCTCATCCCGACTGGACGTGAGAAGAAGCATCTTGTTGCTGTCTGTTCGGAGGAGCTGTGTGTGATTGTGGCGTGATGACAACACGCTGTGCTGCATGGGGAACAGGTGGCTGACTCCTCCATTAGCCGAGAAGGGGTTCTTTTTTTTCTGGGAGTACAGGCAAATATATGTAAAAAGAAAAGTCAACCTCTGGACTCCTGGCTCCTTCCTAATTTAAAAGCTTACGTGTTTGCTATCACAGCCATTCATATACACAAAATGCACAATTAACCTTAAACCAACAGAAATAAGCACGACTGAAATGAGAAAACCCGTTCAAGCTGACAAGATAAATGTTCCTGCGTTGTTTGGAGGACACTGAGTGCCATATGGAGACCCTGAAAGGTCCCAGCCGGGAACCATTCGTTCCTGGCTGGTTAATTGGTCCTTTGCAGTACTTCTAAACCCGTTTTGCAAGACTATGGAATATTTTCTATTAAGATTAACATGATACACTGCAAATGTAAAGAAATCCCTCTGCAAATACTGTTTAAAAGAGAGATGATGGGGATCTGCATGGTACCTCCACTTCACAGTGATCTTTGGTGTAGCTGTGACTGGACAGCAACACTGAAAACTATTTTGGGGCCTTTTTTGACAAATGTGCAACCAACGCTCTTTTTCACAAATACAGCAATAAGTTCAGACTTCATCAGCTTTCCATCTGTTCTGTTCCATCTGCTGGCTCTCAGGTTCATTTCACACTTTAGATCAGACAACAAACAACAAAAGATTTCAATCGTCTCTGTTCATCATGATAAATCCCACAAAATGGAACGTTACTGAAGTTGAAAAACAGACCGAGCTTCAGTGGAAGACTTTGTTAGATCTGCACATCAATTAGTATGAAAACCTACTGGCTGCATGTTTGCTTCATGCACTCGCTCTCCGTCTGAGTCTGAACAAATGCACTTACACAGCAGGAAGCAGCATCTCATTTCCCCTCTGAAGTTTGACGCAGAGCCCGCCCAGAGTGGGAAAGCCTGCGACAAACACACCGGCTTCTCTCTTCACTGGACTCAAGACGTTGAACAACACAGCCCGAGGACACACACCACGAGGCTGTTTAAAGCACAGACTCACACTAAATGCAGTGTCAGCAGAACACAAACCGATAAATCAGACCCCATCACACCTGCCTGTCTCTGCCTCCTTCCTGTCGGGTTGCACACAGCTCTGTAACCACAGCAGAAGGAAAATCAGCCTTCACTTTTCTGGATTTCAACTCCCTCTGATCCCATCTACAGTTAAACTTTAAGTTTTTAAGGTTTAAGCTTCCAGCAGTGTAGTCACTTATGGATGTTATTTTATGGTTTAAAATGTAAAAAATATGGTGACAGTGATGCTAACTTTTATGTTAGGCTATGATTCTCTTTGTAGGTCCTCACTTTTTATCCATAAAGGCTGTTTCATCTGTTTTTCTCCATGCAGATGACAGGCCATGTGCTCTGCTCCTCAGAAGACTGAGAATCCAGCAATCCCTGACGAGAGATCATCTGAGATCAAGCTGTAACCGGCTGTTTGTACCACAGACTTAATTAGTTTTCGCATCCCTTAAATTGAATTCCAACTCCAAAACTGTTTACTGCAGACCACTGTGCTGACAGAGTGCATCATCCTTCATCACCGCAGTGAAATAATGGGTTTCAAACTCTTGTTTAGTCATTTTAGCTCCATTAAAGAAGCAAAATGTTGATGTAGGAAAATAAATGGGAGCCTTTTCCAATAGAAAGATTCATTATATGCTGTTACCAAAGATAAACTCCATCCACACCGAGGGATTTCTCCCCCCAAGAAACAGAAAAACGTGTTAAAACTCCACTTGATCAGCAGGCCTTCTTAATTCAAAATGCTGCTACACAACTGTCTTAAAGCACATCACACCTGTCACACTTTGAGATGTGAAGCTAAAGATGTGGCATTGTGGTGTATCATTCTGAGCATTTACTCATTTTCTGCTTTACAGTCTCTGCTGGATGGAAAGAAAAGCTTTTCAACTTTTTGATCCACTTCTCCTTCACAGGCCTAAGAAATCTCCTGATATTGCAGATGGGTTTTTCTCAGTACTGCCAGGGACTGCGGTGCTATTGTTCTTTGCTTTAAGATCCTATTCACAGTTTTCCCCCACATGTCTTAACAGCAGGAGCTAAAACACTTACACATATAACTTTGTATCACACTGTAAAAACACTCTTAGATGTTAAAATCCTGCATTTAACAATTCATTTTAAAATTTGTACCATTACTACTGTAATAGGCAGTTTTACATTATTTTACATTATTATTAGATTTGACCATGCCAGCTGCTAATGGGTTGAGATGTTGCTTATTTTACTTTTGTTTCTAAAGCTAATCAATATTTAACTCAAATTTACACTTATACTACAATCATGAAAATCTATTTTCTTACTACTAGCTTTTTGGACTAATTGTGTAGTTTTAAATACCTTAACATAATTTCTTGGGTAGTCTTGGGATGATATGGAGGCAAAACCTTGTCAGATGTTAGCAAAGTGAATCCCAAAACGTTCTATTAAGACCTACTTAGGTAGTGTAATACTCTGGTAAGGAGCATACCACATCCAGAGTTACAGTTTTTGTTTAAATCCGTGCTCCTTGCTTGATTTCTGGGACTGGCTGTGGCTGAGTTTTATTTCCTGTTATTCCTGATGCTGCAGAGCTCCTCTCGCTCCTCCGGGGGCTCAGTAATTATAGCACAACCGAGAATTAGGAAATTTATGCTCGTTCCAGCAACATGCTTCCCTGAGTATGTCCCCCCCCCCCCCCCGCTGCGCGCCCCCCCCCCCCCCCTCCCCCCCCCCCCCCCCCCCGATAAGCAGGACCTCCACCGGGGGGCTCTGATGAAACCTGTGCATCACCGTGTCACGTGTGTGTGTGCTCGTATAACTTGTTGTCCTTGTGTCCCAGGTCCCCTGGGAGCTCTAAATCTGGAGCAGAGCACACAGGAGGACCTCCTCTCACCATATTGTGATGAATTCTCTAGAATCCCAATGAAATATTTAAGATATTCTAAGATGAAGCAGTCCCGCCGCAATTAATAATGCTTCAGTGGCCCTGACTTCTTTGTGTAACGAGCATAGGACCACATTGGGTACTGGATAAAGGTGTGTGCCTTTTTAGCCTGCAAGTGGCCTACAAGACACACAGATCAGAGGAAGAACCGACATGTGAATACAGAATGCAAACATATTCTATTTCCTACTAAGTGCATGCATCTGTAGTATTAATGCCTCTCAGGTTGGGTTAGTAAATGACTGTAGAGGCCTGTGAAGATGTGGATGCTGCCCTGTGGACCTCAGTGTCACATTTTTAGGCAGGACTCAGGCCGTTTGGAAATCTGTGATGACTCCAAACACACCAGCCAAATGTGTCACTTCCCTATTTCTAATGTCCAGTCAGACATGTTCCTTAATGTCAAATCCAGCCCCACTCCTCTGGGCTCATTCCCCCAACAGCACAGGCTGCTGGAGGAATGAGGAAGACGCAGACATGGACATTTTTCGACACAGGAATTAGTTTATGAGAAAAAAGACTGGAATAAGGCACAGATGATCCACACACACTGATGTAAACATTAAACTGACAGCGATGCTCAATGTGACATTCCCAAAAAACAGTTCACCCAATGACTTGGGGGGATAATTACGTTACAAACACCACTAACAACAGGCTGAACCGCAGCCTCTCGGGGAGACGTTTCAGTGAAACGATTCCATCACATTCTGACCAGAGACGCGCTGTCTTTTTGCGTAAAATGGAAACACTCACCGGCGGGATTGTGATATTCCGATGGAGAGGAGCTCGACAGTAAGGACAGGAGGAAGAAGGAGGGAGGCATCCGATTCGGTCAGAGATGGAGAGGGCTCAGTCTGCAGCATTGCTGGAAAACTGGGAGGAGAAGAGAAGAGAAGAGGAGCGAAAGGCACCGTGCGCTCCGTGCGCCCCCTGCAGGCCAAAATCCGCAAACCCCCCCTCCTGTTTCTCAGGGAAAGCTCAAATAAGACATGTGTGCAGGGCTAAAATAAAAATAAATAAAAGAAACTGTAATCAAGGGCCTGTTTGCATCTTTATATTAGCACAATGTCTACTTCCTGGAGTGTTATGTGTTACATTAAATTGCAGTAAAGTTATAATTATCTCCTGGTTAAGGTCAAGTTTGATTCAGTCCCATAGACATTATAAAACATGTTGTTACGACTGTAACCAGACTTTTTTCTCCTCCATTAAACTGTGACCACATAATATATGAGACTGATATTGCCGCCGTCCGGGTGTCTCACACACAACTGAGTTCACAACTTCTATTTTTTAACTGCTGTGCAAAAGGTTTGATTTATTAAGAACATCTCGACTTGATCTAGCTTGTTGTCATTAAATGCATGGCTTCTTGATTTTTGTAGACAAGAATAATTCATCTAGTGCAACCTTTAAATGAATTGGAAAAAATAACCTTAACAATACATTTGCAATGATTTTAAATGGTTTGTCCAGAATTATGTAATTTTGGTTCTTTTTGATGTATAACAATATACAGTATAACCACTTATATATTTCAGGTTGATTTCACACTATTTAAGTGAAAGACACAATGACAGTTTGTGTATGAAAGAAATCTCATTGTGTTTTCACTGGGAAAAAATATAATAGAGCAAAGTAACAGTCACAGATTGAGTGTCTCTAATAAGTTTCTGGGTCTTTTATCAATGCTAAACACAATATTGGTTCCTTTCTTTTTTATAATGGTAACATGGGAAAGACAGCTGTTTTAAGGGGAAACAGTGAGACATGTGACAGAAGAAACTTTGATTTGAAAGTTTCCTGCTTCTGGTTAAGCTGGATCACATCTGGACATCAGTTAGCTTTGCACAGGCTGCTAACGTTGATCAGGTGACACAGGTAAACCTAAAACCTGGAGTTTGACAGCCCTGAAATAAACCATAAACCACACAAACAAACAAAAGGAACACATTGCACCTGTGTGTCACGTGAAATATTACACTCAGTTTAAAAAAAAAAGAACAAAGTCTGTGCTTTTTATTTAACACATTATTTATTTACAACTTGACATCCAAAACGAAGACATGTGCTGACCAAAGCTCATTTGCGGCTTCACATTTGTGCAACATGCAAATACTCCCATGAAACCGTCAGTAATGGGCACAGATATGCAAACCAGGTGGGATTTTACTGCATTATAGAGGCCTGATCCTATTTCTGACAGACAGCAAACAAAAGGGACACAAGCCTCAAAGCAAATAGACGCCTAAAAAAAGACAAACAATATTGAAATAGTAATTAATTTGGTTTAAAGATGTACCTCTTTACGAGATATATCCTGAAAACAACATTTACAAAAAAAACAAAACAGAAATGCAACATTCACAATGCTGAAAAATCTTAAACTAAGTTATACACATTGCATCTATATACAAGATATTTTGGTATATTACACATAGACCGGTTCTGTGTAAGAAAAATCTACACAACCTTAAAATAAGCAGAGCAACATTCTAATGCATAAATACTATTAGTGTTTTCTTTTTTTACCAGGATTGGACTCCACGATAAACCATCAACTTCTCTCATGGATCATGTATAAAAAAAGTCAATATAGTTCATGTTGGACATGAAAGGTAAATGTTATTAGGTAGGATATTTCACCTAGCTGCATTTACAGCCTGTAACATTGTGGATTTCAGCTGCCAGCTTTCATTTTCAACATCATCCATTCATACATGACACAATCATGCTTGAGGTACAATTTTGCTACTGGTGTACTATTTTTCTTGGTAAATGGAGTAAGGCAGTATTTATCAAAATGCTCCCTAAAAAGAGAAAGGGAGGGCAAAGAGAACTGTTGGATGACTCTAAAACGTCATTTAGGAAAATAGGCACTTAAAACGCAGGCTCTGACAGCACTGATAAATCAGTTCACGTTAGCAGCTTTTCTCTTTTCTTATTTCATAGTTAAAAAGTGCAAGAAGCAACTCCCCATTAGTAAAAACTCACTGCACTTGTTTCATCTCCGGGTCACTTAACAAGAAGAAAAAAAAGTCTACACACAATACTGGTGACAGTGCGATTTGTCTGATGGCACCGTGTGTATTTCTAAACCTCATAATTCATGTGTAAAGCAACCAGACTTGTGCCTTGTCAGTAAAACAGTGTGACGGCCTCAAAAGGTTTACATCAGAGGTAAACACACCACCAAAAGCACAGCATTTCTCCCAACTCTGTCTAGAACCTTTGAGACTCAAACCATTTTCTCTAAATACTAAACATCTCAAAAACCATAAATCATAATTCAAAGCTCAATGAGCAGCAACAATTTCTACCCATCAAAATACATAATAGATAAATAAAAAGAAGTTGGCATATTCTTTTAGCAGGAACCAAACTGAAGTTTGGTGGCAGACAAACACGATGTGTGCGTGTATCTATAGAAACAGATGTTAGTGTTTCAGGTAGCTAAGAAAAACCTCATGCATTCTTATAAATCATCATCCTCCTGGGTGGAGTTCCGTAGGTCGTGCAGGAAGGCCTCCTTCTCGGTGGTCATGGGTTCTCCTTTTATCCTGCACGCTGGGATGTACGTGTCAGAGCCGCTCAGAGCCGCCTCGGCGCTGTTGCGAATCCCGTAGCCGAAATAAATAACGAAACCTGCAGTTTATGAGGAGACATGAATGCAAATCAGCTCCTTCAAAACACCAAGCGCACAGATAAAAAACAAAAAGAAAACTTTGACAATTCTGCCCGAAAACTAACCTATGACCATCCAGATGGCAAACCGCATCCAGGTTCCTCTATCGAGCTGCATCATCAGGTACACGTTGACAAACATGCTAATGACGGGGACAAAGGGGAGAAGAGGAACCTGTGGAGAGAATGAGGGGATTTAAAGTTACAGCTTTGAATTATGTAATGAAATCCATTCTTAAGGCCAGAAAGAATGTTCAAAATGAGTTAAAAGGTGATAGTTGTGGGTTCGGTGTCAATGCCTGTTTAAACTTAAGTGGAAATGACTTTAAAATAAAGAATTTTAACTTAGAATCTAGCATGAAAACATCTGGAAAGAGAAAAATAATGTGCATGCGTGTTTCCCAGAGCTAAACTTTTTCCACGAAACATGAAAATGTTTGCTAAGAACAATAAATGCAATTAAAAAAATCCATCTGAGTGGAGCAAACTCACCGTAAAGGCTAGTTTGGCTTTGCTCTGTGGCTGTCTGAAGACAACCAGAGTGAGGAGTAAACAGACCCCTGTGACGACACTGAGGATGGACAGAGACCAGGGGGCCAGTCCTCCATTAACAGCAACAACCCCAAAAACGCACACCAAGACACCTGGTGGGAATAAAGAGACCACTGGGTTAGGAGCCAGGCCCGTCCAGCCTCTCTGATCCGGTTTCCCGGAGCTTTGGGCCTCACCGAGGAGACTGGTGCAGATGTTGACCGACAGCCCGGACAGGGCTGACGGCTCCGTGTTGGAAGGGAAAAAGAGGTTCCTGATGGTGAAGTGGTCATCTGGCTGTGGTAGGATCCCATTATTCCCCTCGCTGTAAGAGTCGGTGATGTCAGGCTCGTCCTGGGTGTTGGCCATCTCGTAGGTCCTTCTGAGCTGTTCAGGCTGGTACCTGAAGCAGGGGACAGAAGTCAAGATTAACTGCACGACGTCCAAAATTACAGATGAGTCTGAGGCCGAGGACACACAGAAATCAACAGCAAAGTACGACACAATGTGCATGACACATTTAGCAGATCTATGGCTCTTTCTCCATCTCTCTATCCAGTACAGAGAAAAAAACTAAATAAAAAAGGACTAACCGGAGGACCAGCACACAGGCAGCCACCAGAGTGTAGGCCAGCAAAGTGCCGATGGACATGAGGTCAACCAGGTCCTTCAAGTTAAACAGGAAGGCCATTACAGCTGCGAGACAGAGAGGAAACATGAACGTCAGCAGGACCCTTCAGCAAACACAAAAGCTTGAAAATGCACAAAAAACACTGATGACATTATAAATGACATTAGATATCTTTAAAAAAAAACAAAAAAAAAACAAGTCGTTCTCATGAAGGAAAGAAACTTTTTATTCCCAGATAAAAAGTTTCCTGTCTTTATGCGACGTAATCACCGTCCTCCTTCCACCAGAGGGCGCTGTTGCCCGCTCGCCACTTCTCAGCTACCTACCGGACAAAAACCCCGCCACCATGGTGGAGACGATGGGCGTCTTCCTCTCACTGACACGCGCCATAAAGGAGAAGAGTAGACCATCGCGGGCCATAGCAAAGATAATGCGGGGCAGAGGAAACATGGAGCCAAGGAGACTAAGCCAAGGATGAAGGGAGGAGGAGGCACAGATTTACAACTGGGATCCAAACTCTGGGTTTCACACTAGGCCTCAACCATTCTCAGGCCGGCGTTCAGATCAAGGCGCTGGGTTTTGGTTGAGCTCTGGTGCTGAGTGCTGTGGGATTGAGTCGGTTAGTTCAGGCTGGGAGCTCACCTGCCACCACACCTGCCGTTACGGTAGCTGTTACGGGGGTTTTGGTTCGGGGGCTGACTTTAGCCAAGCATTTGAAGAGCAGGCCATCTTCCGCCATGGCCCAGATCACTCTGGGCATTGGGAACATGGAGCCCAGAATACTAGTCCAGGGAGAGAGGGAAAAGCATGCCGTGCAAAAAAAACAAAAAAACACACACGGTTAGAAAGTAATGAGGTGTCTGGGGAATGAAACTTTAAAATGAGCAGAATTGTCACATGAATTTTATGTCACCACACTAGCTTTTTGTCTAAAAAATCTAATAGGTTTGTGTTCGATTCCTGAAAATCTAATTTCCTGTGCGTAGTCTCGTGTCACCACAAATGCTGTGACAGATTTCTGGACAAAGCGGTCAGTAAATCATATTCTAAACTTATTTAACAACATATTTTTTTTCATTTGATTATAGAAACAATAAATTCAGCTGTACAGATTACAGGTCCAAAACAGATATCTGCTCATTTGCTGTAGGACAAAAATGCCAGTCCAGTTAGTTGCTCAAATTTTTCACACTATTAATATTATGAAAGTATCTTCGTAGTACATGCTCAGAAATCCACAGTAAACAAATTAGTGGCAGTTTGAGCCCTTTCCCACCATCTTTAATCCTGTATCTACGGCTATCTCTGGCCAGAGGTCATGGTGCTAGCTGTTCCCAAAGCAGGGAGAAGAAAAGATCTCCAGCAGGTGGTGGCCATTAGTTCCCTCTTTCTAACCTTATCATCATCAGCCATATATGTAAAGGACTTTAAATCAGCTTAAGCTGAAACAAAGTGCTTTACATCTGACAAAAGTGAGACAAAATCGTCAAAATCCAATCCAATCACAGCTTGTTCACCAGCCTCTCTCCAGGACGCCTCAGGACCATCAGGACCAGCTTTTGTCCAGCTCAGAGCACATGCTGCTACGCTCCTTTGTCTGCTAATCATCAAATTAACTGGACTCTAGTTCATTCATGACATTTCTTCAGCTGTAAAATTCAATAGTTTGCTTCTAATTCAATTAGCTGGATATTAACAAAGAGTCCAATTATTGTAAAGATCTATTCAAATTCAAGAAGTGCTCTAATTTCAAGGCCTTTTAGGGAGAATATAGAGTAAAAGGTGAATATTGAAATAGGTGCTTGGAATATAATATTGATATGTAATATATCATTGATATAGTATAAAACAGCCATGACACTGATTTAGTCTTTCCTCTATTTTTAGATAAACAGAGATACACTAGTTTTACACCTGCCCCATAATAAATTCCCATTTTTGGATTGAGCCACTTCATGTCAATCATTCCATACCATGTCAATGTTCATTATCTTAGTTTGATGTTAGTATTTTATTATATTTATCTTTACAAACAATTCAACTACGTAGTTTAGCATCTTCTTAATATAATATGTATGGATAACAACAGCCATCAGCCAGTGAGACTGATGCCGGCAGACAAAATGAGAAAACTTACCTGGTTGATAAAGCACACAAAGAGCCGATGGCCACGGCATAAGTGGCCTCCTCCCAGCCCACGTAATTAAAGGCCACGGGCAGAGGGCTGTTCTTGTCCAGCATGTAGTACGGCATCATCATGGTGAGGGCCGCAGACACTCCAAAATAAGCCACGAAACAGATGAGGAGGGAAGCCACTATGCCGATGGGGATGGCCCTCTGCGGGTTCTTTACCTCCTCTCCTGGGGGAAAACAGAACCGTGAATAAGGGAGGACACACCTCATGTGTAAGTGATCAGTACTAATGCGTTCGCACTCACCCGTAGTGGCGATGCAGTCAAAGCCTACAAAGGCATAAAAACAAGTGGCGGCCCCAGAGAGGACTCCAGTCCAGCCGAAAGGCATGAAGCCGCCTCTGCCAAGAGCCTTTTCCTCCAGAGGGAAACCAGACACACTGTACACAAAACAGAAAAGAAGCTTTACTCACAATAGATACAACACTTATTTACTGTAGAACCTCATATAACATGTTATTCGATGTTGATATTTTGGAACAAACAGCCTCGTTTCACCCACTTGAGGCTAGAATTTGTGGTGGCATTCAAGATCTCCTCTGGGTCCAGACTCCAGTTTTTGAGAGTTCCCTTCACCAAGCCCGAGATGATCACAAACACCAGCACCAGCACATTGATGCAGGTAAAGATCTTATTCACCATGGCTGACTCTTTCACCCCAAAAGAAAGCAATCCTGCAGGCCATTGAGAAAAGACAGAGGAAAAGTGAATATGTTATCAAACAGGATAAAAGACAGCAGTCAGAAGGTTATTTTACATTTGTTCCAGACCTGTTAGGGTGATGATGATGAGAACAGCAAAGATGTCCGGATACTCCGCCAGGACTCCTGGTGCGTTCATGGTCATATATCGTCTGCAGAAATCCTCGATGTGGCCGCCTATCAGCTCATCAAAGGTGGCGCTCCACGCCCTGGCAACGCTGGAGGTTCCTGTGTGGACGGGAAGGCTTATTGCAAACTGACCAACGTCAAACTCACACTCACTGTCTATTCCCGGATTCAAGAGTTCTCAAATTTGTAGAACTGATCGATTTCAAAACTGCTCAAATTCTTTATAAAGCAAGAAATAAATTACTTCCTGTACACATACAACAATTGTTTACAGATAAAGATGGAAAATATAATCCAAGAGGAAAATTAAATTTCAAAACTAAGTGTGTTCGAACAACAAAAAGAAGCTTCAGTTTATCAGTTAGTGGAGTGCAGCTCTGTAACAGCTTGCCTGAAAATATTAATGTAGTAGCATCCAGCAATTGAAAAAAAAAACAATATATATTTTTGATATATTTTTGATGAATACAAAAAAGAATAATACATAAAAAGTTATACTGTTTGTCTTACTGTTAATAATTGTCCTTTACCACCATGACTCATGTAACTGAGGGGTAGGGCTTAATAAGCTTATGCTTCATCCTGCTCATTTTTGAAACATGATGCATGTTTAGGAAGCATTCTATGTAAACATTGTAAAATCATATCATGTTTCAAAAATAAACGAAATGAAATGAAACCAGGCCGGACTCTCTTCCCTCTCTCACGCTTCTAAAATCTCACCGATGACGTAGCTGAGGATGAGGTTCCAGCCGGTGATGAAGGCCCACAGCTCCCCGACCGTCACGTAGCTGTAGAGGTAGGCCGAGCCCGTTTTGGGGACCCGGGCCCCAAACTCTGCGTAGCACAGGCCGGCCAGCACGGAGGCCAGCGCGGCGATGAGGAAGGACAGGACGATGGCGGGCCCGGAGCTGTCCCGGGCCACGGCCCCCGCCAGCACGTAGACCCCCGCCCCCAGGGTGCTGCCCACCCCCAGGGCCACCAGGTCGAAGGTGTTCAGGCACCGGGACAGACGCGCATCGTCCTCGCTGCAGTCCACCACTTTCACCCGCAGGAGCTGCTTCCCGATGCCTTTCAGGGTCCCCAGAATCATCTCTACTGGCTCTGGGCAGAAGATTCCTGCTGACCAAACAAGAGGGTATAGTTAAGTCAATATATGGACGCCATTCCAGAGCAAATGGGTTTAAGAGATGAACTTGAGAGAGTCAAACGACACGTGGATTCTGCAAAATTGACAGAAAGCCCCTATAATCAGGAGCATTTATATCAAAAAGCATTGAGGAAACATCTAGGTGTGAGTTTACATTACAACAATGACACATCAGTCAGTAACTATTTCACCAAAACAAACGTGAGGCAACAATTAATTCAATCTAATTTTTTCCCCTCTATATATCACTACTGTTAATAAGATTTATTTTTGGGTCAGAACGCAAACAGCAGTAAAACTCAGTTCATTCCCAACGATCCATGATTTAGAATAAATTAGACTACAGAATTAGACAAAACCAGTTAAAATGAAAATTTAGAAGAAGATCAATACATGCACGAAAGCAGTCGATCTCACGTATGAAAGAATATTTTATATTTTAAGTTAACACACTGTGAAGTCGGTATTCCCGACTTAAGCTACAGTAATATTGCACGTTGCGTAACCCTGGGTCAACACAGACAGTACTCACTTTGGAAACCCAATACAAATCAGGATCTGATGCCTCAAGTTATTCCACTTTTTCAGATACGGTTTCACAGAGCTTCGCCTTCCGGAGCGCAAACTATTTCACCGTCAACTTAAGATGAGCGGAGCGGGGACGGAGGCTTACATGTAGAGGTCTGACACGTGACACGGATGCCCCTTTGTGTACAAACCATTCAGGTGTCCGACTCCCAAATAGAACAGCCGCACGTCACAGGGCATTAGGGGCAGCATTAGGACAATATAACATACACGTTGTTGTCCCCTGGAAGACTTACTAAAGTGCACGAGACTTTACTATATATAAATATATATCAATATATATCATGTACAAATGAATTAATACTACTCACATCAATCAAAAGTGAACTAATCTATGATATAAGGGAAAATGTCATTGTATATAGTGAGAGATCTTTTGATACGTCATTGCCCAGAGAAATTGGTTCAATAACAGCCAGCAGTAAAATCAAAATTCTGGAAAATCAGCTAGTGGGACACACAGCAGAATGTGCGTGATGTGACAGGCAGAGGCTGAGCTAAATAAGAAACATGGGCCGGACCGTGCCCTGCCCGTTTCTCAGCCAATGGCTGACCTCAGCTCATGACTCACACAGGAGCATGTGGCTGAATTTGAAATAGCAGTCAGTCACATGCGCCTCACTATTAGACCTCACGCACAACGCTTGTCCCTTCAAATGACTTTTATATTGCACGTGGCATTGTGGATACACAGGACTATCACTGTTAGATTCAATTAAACTTGAAAGTTAGAATTGATATGATCTTTAGCCCTCATTAAACTGGCTCAGGTGTTCTTTCAACTGATTTTAGCATCACCTACATTAATCATATTTCACTGGATTTCCCCTTGGAAAAGCATTAGTAACTCATTAAGTGGACTAGAATATTTATTTATTCTTTGTCTTGCAAGCTCAGTCATGCCTGAAGAAACACGTTAATAAAAGACCCAAAAGTGCAACTTGAAACATTTAAACCTAAATTTAAACTAAAGCTGCTAGCTGTCTTAAAATTCGACGTCCTCCACATGAATTAAAAAGACTGTAAAAGCTGTAAAGAGAGAGTTTAAAGGCCCCAGACCTCATGTGGTTTATGAAGGGTGTTTAGCAGAACAACAAAAGCTCCTCTGCCCTTGTTGTGTACTGTAAGGCGGGATGGGGAAAACAAAGCGGAGGGCAACCATAAAACACACGGCTGTTACACAACCCAGACAAACTGTCCTTTCCAGGGATTTAGGCCTTGTAATACCTAAAGGGCCACATAAAGATGACACCGTTAAACTTTCTAAATGCAGATGAACTGGAAGACATGCTCCACAATCCCAAAGCCTATGAGCCACCTTGAGCTCTAATTTTCTGTACAACAGCATCATTCTTTGACATGTTTTTATGCGTTTATCATTTATTTTTTACATGGTTTTTGTTTTGTTGAAGTTTCATTGACTTATCCAAAGCTCACTTGAGGTCCTGCCAGATATCTGAGTTGGGAGCTGGTTTTCCTGGAATGTCTGGGCTCTCTGACCTGTTGGCTGGCTTTGTTTTACAGGCCGGGGACACTGCGTCACACTTTACTCTGGAATGCTTTCCTCATTTCTGTCCAAAAGGACACAATTACAAACCGAAGCTGAAATCAGGTTTTCGCCAGGAACCCTTCTGAAACTCCCCAACTTGTTGGGCTTTTTTCTAACTGAACTTTAACATCTGACTGAGGCTCTTTAAGTCTGAGATGTAGCTCTTAGTATTTGGGTTTTTTACACAGTTTAACCTTGAGATGAGCTTTCTGGGATTTCCTCTGGGGAGATCAGGAACTGTGTTGATACTTTTCCACTTGATAATAATCTCTCCAACTGCAAACGTTGGACTCCAAACTGTTTGGAAACCATTTCAAATCTCTTTCCAGACTAGTGGACAGTAACAGTTGCTTCTCTAAGGTCATTGCTAATGTCTTATCTGATTAACATTCTGTTAGCACGCACCTAAATGATGAAACATCATCACAGATAATCGAATAACAGGTGGATTCTGCATAATTGACAAACAAGCAAACAGCACGTGGCCGTCAAGCATTGTTCGATTAACAATGACGCTGTTTCATTTGGCATAGCTCTTGTTCATCAAAGGCTGGACTATACTAACTCTAGGAGCTAATATGGCTAAATGACTCCTTTTTACTATCCATGGTTTGTGATTGAGGAAATACTTTGTGTTTGTATTTTAGGTATGTCTTAACTAACTGATGAATATCTGATGAGTGTTTGGCTCCTGACCCCATGAGGGAATAAGCGGTATTGATAATGGATGGATGGATGGATGGATGGATGTTTGGCTCCTTGGTGGACCCTGAGCCAGTGGTACTGCTCTCAGAAAACAGTTTTAAAATGCCAATTAACAGTGTTAAAAAATTTATTTTTCAAATTATTTAGCAGACAAGAGAAAGTATTTCTACTTTTAATTGGTCAACTTATCTATAACATTTCCAACATCGTTTACTGTGTATGTATTCTAGTAGAGCGGAGACAGAAAATCAATCTACTGAATGTGGGATCATTCTTTTTCTCATTTTTCTTACATTTTGTGGATGACAACTCTATTTAGCAAAAGTCAAAGAATTATGCATTCAGCATCTGGGCATCATCGTAAGTTAGTTTAACAGTTTTTGTGTCAATCCACGTGTCAATATAAAACAGAAGAGCACAATACCCCACTCTAAAATGGTGAGTTTCTATATTAGAGTCGCAGTTATTCTACAGGCTGAAGCCTATATTTAATCTTTTTATTTGAGGAAACATTAGTGGGCATGAGGGAATGTGTCTGACCATTAGGGGAAAATCTATTTGCTCCAATGTTAGTTGATAAATAGATAAGTTTTTTTTAATTCTCTGTTTAATTTATGAAAACACATGAAAGCATCAAAAAGTTTATGTGGTTCAAAGCTTTGAAATGTCCAAAAAGTGAGTCAAATGCGTTTTAAGAGGACAAAACTCACCTAACTGTTGTCAAATATGGTTAAAAACTAAAACATACTGTTTTCAGAGTATAAACTTTCATTAAACTTAAAAAAAAACCCTCCTGGATTGGATCTAAACTGGACCGGAAGTCTCATCTGGGTGCTGTCCGGGTTCAGCCGGGTTCGGCCGGCCCTCCATTGCCGGGGGCTGCGCTCCTTTAATGGGCAGTTTCTCCGCTTCCAGCCCCGGCCAGACCCCGGCCAGACCCCCGGCAAAACCCCGGGCCAGACCCCTCCAACCACCGCCAACCACTCCCTGCTACCCCCTGGCACGGTGCCCAGCTCCATAAAAGCTGTTCGGATTGAAAAAACCCAGAAGTTTCTCTGAGATGCCTTCAGGTAATGTTGCATCAGCCGCGCGCTCCTTCCTCATCCGTGCGCGCGCCTTCCTCGTGGAGGGCTCCACGCGCGCACGGCTCACAGGACGGGAAGCTTCTGCCTCATCTCCCCTAAACACCACTTTACTTTACAAACAACGGCCAAGTTAGAAGCTCTTACTTACTTTACAACGAACCAGGAGCTGCCTCTGTTTTCTTTTTCTTTACCCCCTTTTTTTTGGTTGAAAGGGTCCCCCCCCCTTTCTGAAACCAGACAAATGAGTCGGCACGAAGGACACACACACACGGGGGTGTGGCACTCGTGAGGGAAGTAGTGAAACCCGATCACGGGGCCATCCTTAGCTCCACCCGGGGAATATCCGCAATTACAACCTATGACCGGTAGATGGCAGTGTTTACAAGCAAATGCCCCCATTCCCCCGTAAATAAGCTTAAGAACTATTCTCTATCTTTAAAAGTAACCTCACCGTGCATCTGTTTAAGTGTGTGTGTGTGTGTGTCCTCTATATGCCTGTCCATATGTTGACAGTTCCCCCAGATGTTTGTTGTTTTCATTGGTGCACACACACCGGATGCTAATGGTTACAGATTGCTTCTTTGTCCATGTGGGTTAGAAAGCTGTTGGCTGTTTCTGGTGGCGACTGCATTGTTTCAGTCTTTGATTTTCAGCCTGTCTTTACACACCATCCATCCCTCTGTGTCAGAGTTCAGAAGTCACATAACACACAAACACACCTCCAGTCTGAAACCGAACTTTAACAAAATAGATCCAAATCATAATTAATCTCCTTTTTTCTTTATCTATAACTCAGACTTTTATCAAAGCTCTAGAATATGGAATTGGTGGGAGAATAGCTCTTCACATTTGCAGACTTCTGGCCGACTGCTGCTCGTCCTGTGGGCCATTCGTGGGCTGCTTTGATAAACGGGAAAACGCATGATCTTAGGAGATTTTCCCGTACCGCACTTCTGTAGACCCAGTAAAAAGATGTACTTCAAAAGAATCACTAAAGCAGCCCTTGCTTTTTTCCC